AATTTTACCTCAGTATTTATTTATATTACTTGGTTTACAGATCCGTTCACAAAGCTGTCTGATGAAATTATTTTAGTCATTTTTAAGTATTTATCTCGACGCACTTTATCAACATGTGCTCAAGTTTGTAAAGACTGGCAGATGCTGGCGTAAGTATCAAATACAGTAAACACCCGCRAGTAAGAACCTACAAATTAAGAACCTGTAAGCCTAAAATTTGCTATTTATACCCCCTATAAGCAAGAACCTATTTAGCCTAAGAAAGTTAAAATAGGTTCTTAATTCTAAAATCATACTAGTGCCAGTACTAGCTCCACTGAAGAAAAAAAACAGAGAGATTACTGTACTGCATTATCTTTCTTAACAACCATGTTTCACAGCAAAATGGCATAGGCATACTGTACTGCAAGATTGTAGTCACAAATGATCCACAATGATCCAAATGATCCACAATGTGAATTGAAGAACTTTACTGTAGTGCTACATCAAATACAGTACAGGACATTTACCAACTTGTTTGGCACCCATGTCTTTCTTCAAGATTAAGAACCTATTTTAAGAACCTAACTAGCCTAAAATTCTGTTAACCACCATTTATATAAGAACCCGTTTAGCCTAAGTGCTAAAAATCCAGGTTCTTACTCGCGGGTTTTTACTGTATATCAATCTTTTCAACCTTAGATATCAATAATACCTCTTGTATTTTTTGTCTTACAATAGCTATGATGAAAGCCTTTGGAAAGGTGTTGATATGACTAMAGCTAAACTGTATCCTGGTGTTCTTGGTAATGTGCTGATGAGAGGAACTAGATTTTTGAGAATTGCGATGTCTAAGGTACATTATGATTTTTGGTAGTAATGCTTTGCATTCGTCAACAAATTGTAATTAAGAATCAATATTCTTGCATGTATGTTGATGTGCCAACTGTGATCACAATAGCTTTTTGTATATTTCTTTAAACAGATTGTTTTCTATTAGGCATTTCAGCAGCAAACACTGCACATAAGTTTTGTGGTTTGCTAACCCATGCTTGGTTTCATTCATCCTTCAATTCGATTATTCACAAAGATTCTTGGCATGCATCACTTTGCATGTACATTAACATTTTTTCCTTTTAATAGTGACTTAAAGCCTGTTAAGACTAAATTTCCAAGTTGTTTTGGTTCTTTTTCAGGTCTGTTCTCCAATATTTGATGAAAGTTTTACAATATTTCCTGACGTTGTTCCTGTTCTACAAAAGTCAAGTGACTGTCTTCTCAAGCTTTCTCATCTTGATGCAACTCTATGTACATTTGAAGATGACAGCTTACTTTGTCTCTTAATGGTATGCATGTTGGGGTCTAAAATGCTTCTTGGTTTGCAATGTTTGAAACTGTGTTGTATTTTTGCAGCATTCAAAAAGACTGAAATGTCTGAGTTTGGATTCCTGCTCCCTGTCACTCAGCATTCTTAGGTAAGTTAAAAGAAGGAGTATAAAATGGTGTCTCAAAACTTACGAGGCTCACTAAAAATTTTCCAAGGTTTGCAAGCTTGGTGCTTAAAAGAATGGGGCTCAGATTTAAAATCCTTTTTGGCTGGGAATATTGCAATTGACGAAATATTGAATGCGTTCAGTCAGAGGCTCGGGCTCAGATTTTAAAACGAGGGGCTCACAGGTTTGATACCCCTGAAAGATCATCAAGCAGCAAAGGACAAAGTTGATAAATCAATCAATCATTGATTTATCATCAATAAACTATTAATTTGTTGATTAATCATCAATCATTTGTCCATTCAAACTATACATCTATCAATCAATCTGGAAATCAATCATTCAACCGATGCTTCTAATCAATTAACATCTAACATGTGTTGTTCTGCAGAGCAATTGCTGACTGTGAAGATCTAGAAGTGTTAAATCTATCAATGTGTAGTGGTATTTCATCTGTTGGTATCAAAGCTCTAGTTAATGGCTGTAAAAAGTAAGACCATTTCCAGGTTGATGTACACTTAGTACAGTACTAATTAATTAATATTTGATTTAATCATAGGCTTAAGAAATTGAATTTAGCCTGGACTTACCTCAACAAGACATCACTACTTGAGGTGATTATTTGTTTTATCTTTAATTTATTTTTACTGCTCTTTGTGAATACAAGCTATTATGGCATGCTTTTGCAGAATCAAGGGTTTGTTGGTGAGAGTTTTACAGCCTGGGCCTAAATGGCTAATTGCTAATACATCTCATCTCTTAAAACTGGCCTGGGTAGTGTGTGTGTTGTACTTTGTACTTTGTTTTTTCTTTCATGTTATCTCAGAGTTCCTCCCCTGGTCAACCACTGAGAAATTGTTTCCAGTGTAAAAAATACTTAAGTGCAAACTTACAGCACATTTACCCAGTGAATATTGCATCTTACCCTATTAGAAAGACTCTTTGTTTTAATCCCTGAAAAAAATGCATCGCACATTAATTAAATTACTTTAATATTACAAAAATATAATTGTAAGCTTTATAATGCTTTGATCTTTGTAGATTATCAATGGTTGTCCAAACCTAACGCATTTAAACTTGAGTGGCTGTCGTGAAGGACTAACAGATGATGGTAATAGCCTATTTCCAGTATTATTGATTGACATTAGTGGCTAACACTAAATCAATTGTTGTTTGTAGTTGTACTACAGTTGGTTGAACGCTGTCAGCTACTTACACACCTGGATATAAGGTATGTCCCCCCCCCCCCCCCCCCCCCCCCCCCCTCTCCCTCTTTCAAAATTTCTGGATCTGAATGGTATTCGGTCGGAATCGAAAAGTTGTTCTTTTGGGTTTGTCTTTTTTTAGCTATAATAAAATTGTACTTTTAAMAAAATCTTTACTAAATGCTTCTACCGTCCGCCCTTATTTCCGGCAAAGTGGGAAAACGTTACATCAGTTTTACATGTTATATATGGGCGTGGTCCTCCGCTCTCAATAATGAAACTTGCGTTAGAAAAAATAGGTTAATAATGTGTGCAATAACATTTGAAAGAAAAGAAATATGCAGACAAAGAAGGAGAAGAAGAAGAAGAAGAAGACAAAGGAAGACAAACATGGAAGATGTTGCCAAACTGGAATATTGAACTGCAAATGATACTGAATGTTTTAACGTAACCGTTTCGGCCTCACGTCTTGCAAGAACACGCTGTGATGCYTCACTTTTATGACCTTTGTCAGAAAAAAAATACATCAAAACACATCTTTTCTTGGAACTGATTATAATTGCAAAGTAGATGAGCTGAGATGGTTGAATTGAATTACCGCCGATGAACCAATGAGAAAGCGAAGCCATTACGGAAATCAAGCAATCCAGCTGAGAAAGCAATTCGTGACAAAATTGCAAATCAAAGATGGACCTTTCTAAGGTAGAAACGAGTCCTATAAGTACGACTCTGAACAAATATAACATCAAAATCAAAGAAAACCATGGTCTTGATTCGAAAACTGGTTTTTGGTGGTTTGTATTCACCTTTGACTACGAACTAGAAGCTGGAATCGAAGTGCGCCTAACAAACTTCAAGTACAGCAGTTCAAGTAATATATGGACACTAGAAGTTACTAAATGTAACTATCTGGGCATCTCTAGCAAAGAAGAAATGGCTTCTTTTGACATGACAGATGAGCTGGTGAACGAGCAAGAGTTGCGTCGTCTGAACGAGGCAGTTACCCGTGAGAAGCTGCGTGATTACTTGGAAGATAACATTTTGCCGATAGTGATCCGAAAGATAAAGTACACGAGATTTGAACCACAGTTTCGTTTCTTTTTAAGCCACAAGTCTAAGGATAAACCCTTGATGCGTACCTTTCAAAATGGTCTGAAGTTCCTTGGCTACAAGACCTGGTTGGATGAAAYCAATTTACCAATTATGACGGATCTGAAAGGAGGTCTGAAGGTCTCCATTGACAAATGCGATTGCTTGATAGCCTGGTTGAATRAGGAGTACTTTGAAAGCGATTACTGCAAAGCTGAGCTCCTGTATGCCAGATCACCTAACCACAAGCAGAAGAAAATCATCCTTCCTTTTGGTAAATACAGCGAGATCAAAGATTACCTAACGGGAGATCTAGAGTTCTTAAAAGATCGACTCATATTTGATCCTTCCAAGGCGTCCTTCTTCGAAATACTCCGACGTATTGATGAGGCACTTTTTAAGTTTGAAACTTTGACTATCTAACTGTCTTGTACCCAAACAGCAAAATACTTTGACATCTTTAAGATTTGATATCATCTTTGTGTTGTTATGCTGTTTTTAAATTTGTATTGTAAATTAATTAAAACAGTACAAGATAATGTACAAGAACTTTAAATTTTAAATTAACAGAGCAGAAACGGAAAAAAGGGACTATATTCGTACCCTAACTTTAGTCATTATGTTTCTCAGGATATTGTTAAAGTTTTAGTCAAATAAAGTGCTACGTTTTAAAATATTTTAAGTGTAATTTGTGTGCTTGAAGGGAGGATACTTCAGGGAGGACCACGCTCCCTAAAGCCAACGCCTACATTCAAGTAAATCACTCTTATTTTCATTCCCTTTTTACAAATTGTTGATTTTTGTTACAGTGATGGAGTCCAGATTACAGCTGAGTCGTTGGCTGCTATTACACAAAAACTTTTATTGCAACACTTGTCAATCAGCCGATGCTACAATATACAACCACAAGCGTTTAGGTACTTCTTGATTTAAACATGAAAGTCTGTGAATCGTGACTCTTAGATGACATCAATGTCCAAAACATCAGCGAGCTTTCCCTCTTTTCACGATGTAAAATTTATCACATCCACGCTGACKTTTTAACTGATAGGTCGTCATGTAATTGTGATAATGATAAATACAAGTTATGATGATGATAATGATGATGATGATAATGTTTAATGTCTTTCATGTCACCAGGATCTGTAGAGAGATGAAATCATTGACAAAACTAGATATCTACGGTCTTCTTAATGACGATGGAATCGAATTGCTCAAACCAGAACTACCAGACATCAACCTGAATTCTTCGCTATTCTCGACGATTGCCAGACCAGTGGGCTACAAGTACTATGGGCAAATATGGGGCGTTAGGTGTAGTAAATGATATATGCACTGATTGTCAATCAATGCACAACTGTACAAAACCTTACTGCAAATCAATGCATTACTATACAAAAGATGTAGTGAGCGTAGACCAAGAAAGAAATGCAATGCGCTGGGAACACCAGCCAATATAGTATCCACACAAACAAGTTAATACCTTCCATTCTGCTTTGTCTCTCGCTTATTTCGATAGTGAAATCAAGGCTTTAAAACTCGGAACTTTTTTAAAAGTTGAAAAACTGTCTAAGAAAAGTGCAAACGAGCATATAGTTATTTTTTTATTTTTTGCCTTTCATGGGAAGAAAATCACACGGTTCGAGAATTAAAAGCAAAGATGTTGAAATTAATTAACTTTTTTTAAGGTGGGGAAAAAACAGATTTTTAGATTGCTACAATATATGAATTTGAAATTTTGTAAATATATGTTTGGAGACCAGATATTTGGTATAGAACATCGTTTCATAAGCATAATATTTTTATATTTTGAGGACAGTAGTTTGGAAATAGAATAAACTTTATTTCTGTAAATGTCTTGTTGATTTATATTTACTGAAACCTATTTTGAAGTATGCTATTTCTAGCTATCTCAATCAAAGTCAGTTGCATGGCCTCCTCCACATCCATCTCTTATCAAGGGCTGTCTGTGGGGGAGGCTATTTATCAATTGGTGAAACAAAGAGTATCAGACTCATGCAACTACATAGAGAATAAATTGAAATATTTTATTGTCCCTGCTATAAAAACCTTTGGTTGACCTGGTGCTGGCCAGTGGGAACTGAAATGTTAGTACCCTAAACATGCTATTGCATTTCATCATAAAACTTTGACCTTTTCATGCAACTAATACTAATAATAATGATCATTATTATTTATTAATCATCATCTGGGTRTATTCTGTGGTAGTTTGAATTCAAACTATAAGCTCTAAGACTGGTGCTAAACAACAAAACATTGACTATTCTGAAAAACCCCAGTACAGGCAGGAATAGCCTCGTTCCTTGGATAGAAAAAACAATAGAATAAACAATCAATKTACACATAGATTCAAGGMTAAGCCTGCTTGTACAGGAATTTTAAGAAAATCAAATTATAGCAATTTCATAATTACAACTATATACATGTACATGTAAACTGTTAAATATCATCAAATAGATTTTTCGGTGGTTTAGTTGGTGACCATCCRTACCCTGAGGARTCTCTRGTATTGTACGTGTCTCTATTATAAGGCTCTCTGTTATATTCACTGCTCRATGCAGCATTTGGGTCATAATCGGCAGCTGCCAGCAACTCYACTCTGTCATTTTCTTCATCAAATCGTGAATATTTGACAACTTTGACATCATCTGTTAAGTTGGTTTGAGAGTTTGCTTGATCTCTCTTGAGTCCAAGGTTTAGTTCTCTGTCTCTGTATGATTTTCTCTCGTTTATTCTGYGTTTGGCAGATTCTCCTCTTTCCATCCAAGTTTCCTGGAAAAACAGAATTTATCAACCAAGTTAGAATTTAGTCATGTCAACTACTTCGACTTCTCAACAATTTATTGGGCTGCTATCTGAAAATGTGTTCACCAAAACAGTGGATTCCAGGTTTTTTCTAGCATGCCTATCTTTAGCAGAACATCAAGCTAATCCTTGTATTACTAGTAGTAACATTATAGCAGTTCTTCCCACAATCAAAAAAATATACATGAATTTACCTTTCTGCCTTCCCCATTTTCTCTTCGTCTTTTTTCTGCAATAAACAAACTATAATAAGAAACAGGCCAAGTGTCTGAAACCATGAATTTAAAGGCTTGTTTTGATATAACTGAGGTGAATTACAACTGATACAATCATATCTGTACCTCTTCTAACTATATCTTTCCCCTCGTTAGTATACTCCACTGACATGTCGTCTTCAATAATAAATGTCTGGAATCCTAAGATRTTGAGACAACGTGTTCCAAGACTGAAGTAAGTGGCCAAACAGACCAGTAAGACACACATAGGGTAGTAAAGATTAACACCTTTAGAGATGAACGACAGCACATCCATGTGACCCATGAACTGTCAAGTAAAAAGTATTGTTCTCTAGTTAGTATATCTCAGTTGAGATACAAGAATAAATTACTTCGACTTACAGTTGTAAATGAGGTTTCTACTGACTCCATGGCACCTGTCACATGACCATCCAAGTGTATCATGGCCAGGAAGTTTAACGATAAAGCATACGTCAAACGACATAAAATACTRAAAAAAKCAAATTATAAAGTTAATGAAAGCAATAGACGTCAAAGAAGCTTCATCTGGAGGACAATACAAAAGAYTTTTGCCCTCTTGGGAACTAGAATCTATTCATTTGTCCTCCGACGAAGGATTAACGTCCGAAAAGTCACTAAGTTRTTTCACATACTTTTTTACAGTGTTAAATTTATCCTTTTAGAGTAGAGACATGTCTTTTGTTTACTTACAGGCCACTAAATAAGAGACTGTAAGGGTCTGTGTGGTGATTGGGAGCAAAGTAGTAATAATTGAAGATTCTCATCTTGAATACTGTGTAATATGAACASACGCACATATACGCAATAATAAAAAATGAAACAACCTGAAAATAAAAAAATGAAACTATGAACTCAATGGGAATAATGAGAAAATGATATCATCCAATATTATTTTTTTAATATATCAGCAGTTTGAATGATTGTGGTATGCTTTCTGAAGAGATAATAAATCAAGTTTGCTGGAAAAAGGAATCCACTTTTTTCTGGACAGGAAGTCTCCAGTTAAAGAACCAATCCATAGTTATATCAATCATAAATGAAAAACAACACTTGTTTCACATATTTATGGTGTGTGCATCAGATAAAGCATTACCTCAACATAGAAATAATAATATTTATCACCAGCTGCRTTAATGAATATGGCACAAAGTGACAGAATAGGCTTRGTAGTGAAGAACGTGACTTCTGACCAGACTAACGCCAGAGATAATAAAAACAAGACAACACCAAGTACACGSAGKARAATGGGGCATATCCAGATCTTCCAGTACCACTCTAATACAAGAACAAATGAAATAGATGTATTTCTGAATTTATCATAAATCAATTTTCTCAGTATCATACTATTTTCATAATAAGACAATACTTGTGAAATATTTTCAACACAAAATATGTAAGTCCTCATAAGTACTTAAAAATACTTAATCTAAATACATGTCTTTCAATGGCTCACTATAATGAAAAATAATGAGTTTTAGATGCCCTAAATGTCAAAATTGCCCTTCACGTTTTATTCAAATCATTATGAAAAACATTAATTTATCATTAATGTTCTTACCAAAGACTGGAGTAATGCTTGAGCAACATCCTTTAGATGATTTCTTGAGTGATGATTTATAGTATCTGGAATTATGTGCTTAGAAATCAGGATTGAGGAAAATCACAAATTTGCAGGACAAGAGAGGCACACAAGAGTAAATAAAATATTCCACTGCATTATCCACTGAGATTTTTATTCATTTTTTTACGTGTTTCATAAAGATTATCACAAAAAAAACTATTCTCGCACCTTTCTGCATTGTTGGCATTTCTCATGATGTCTTCTAATTCAAAGGCATGCTCCAATTGTGAATTGTACTGACTGAAATAAAACAAAATCAATAATTTTGAACTCTCTAMTAATAGATTAATAAGATCCATGGTTCCATCTTACCATTGAGTTCTCCTGGATGTCTGTGTCACAACAAGGACTTTCCTGTGCAGCTTTACTAAGTATTTCTCTGTGTATGGTTCAATAACCTTTTGTCCGCTGTCTTTAAGATAATCGTCATAATCTACATAGTCATCTGTACCTTTGCCAAACATGGACTCAGCTGATTCAGGGCACTAGAGGATTTCAAAGTCATTTCTTTGTTATAAAGAAATAATATGGAGATGAAAGGGATATGAGATACAGCCTATTATGTTTTGTGTTGCGATAAAACACGTCATGCTCTAATTGGCTAATGACCATGTCTTCTATATAAGAGTAAAAAAGAATAAAGACATGGTTTGCTTGTATTCTCACATTTGTGTCCATATCTAGGAGAACTGACATGTACTGCCATTTCAAAAGGCTCAGAGCAACACAGTTACAGACATAAAGATGTAATACAGTTCAAGTAAAAACTATCTTTAAAATATGTTCCTACCTTCTGGATAATGACATTAATAAATTCTCTTAACGGATCTCTATAACGAATATTGTCTGATGCCTTGCGTACTTCCTGCATATAAGAATAAATACAATATATTTGAAACACTAAATAGAATGAGTTGAAGAAACCAGGAACTTAATGTAAATGCAAGGGTTAATCTTGTAGTCCTATTGTTAGTCTACATTGTAATTTTGGTTAAACAAGTAAAGACAACAAGAGTTAATTTTGACGTTTCGATGTTGTCTTAACTTTTTTAACCAAACTTATAAAGCACAAACAACTAATTCGTACATTGTAATTAATATGTATATTAAATGAAATTAAAACACATAAACCTTACCTCTAAAACATCAGCCAGTTGTTCCTCTGCTTCTTCTCTCTCAACACTGAGCTTAGACACTTTAAAGTATGCATGTGCTAGCTTGTAATCCAGTTTAGCAGAGTTCCACACATTTCTAGGTATTTCTACCAGGCCATAACCCATCAAAATCACCAGTAATAACAAACCCCAAGTATTTGATGCAGTAATGCCAATTATCTTTAGCTGTGTCCTTTAAACACAAATAACAAATACTCAGACCTTCATTATAGCAGTATACAGCATAATATCTCTTACCCATTCAGTTCCAGGTCAGGTCGTGCTATGACATAAATAAGAAGGACCAGGAAGATCACCAAATAGCTGCCATACCAGATAGCATTCTCTAAAAGTGCAGTTTTGATCTTCCCTCTTACTGTGAAGTCACCAGCATATGAATATGACTGCATTATGGGTAGAATTAGCCTGGTAAAATGTACAATATATCTGGTTATAAAATAGGGCATTGTGGGAATGCATGGGTTCACAAAAAGGATCTAACAAGCTACTCTAACAATTCAAATAAGTTAGGATTTTGCTTCAAAGAAGAAATATTGTACTGCATTTATACCATGACAGTATCTGMGAAGACCAATACACCACCCTCCACAGATCAGGAAGGACATTTGCAGGTAAATGRCTCCAAGGTGGTTGACATGTTGACWCAGMTGGGACAGGAACACTAGTTGTGGGTATAGTAGTTGTTGTASTGGTATTATTATTATTAGAATATAAGCTATAAGTATTATTTATTGTGTTAGCTCGATGTTCTTGYTCTTTGAGACATCTACGGTAAAAAGTCTGTGGAAAGAAAATGAAAGRCAGCTGTTTATATAGCGCAAAATATTATTATTTAAATAGTTTTAAATGATAAATAAATGTGATTAAAAATAGGTTTACAGACCATCGAGGAATGTTTCTCTCTCAATACATTACAACTTATATCAAATCAATTTTAAGCTTAATACGTGGGTGACGACCTCAATTATGAAATCTTAATCAAGCGCAGATTGACAATCGAGAAAAATATTGCAAGATCTCATTTAAAAAAGGCACTAAAATCAATGCAATGTACAAAACTATCAAATCTAAAGCAATACTTACATCTGATACGTCTAAAGGGAGAACTTCAACTATTATAAAAGAGAAAAACCAAGCGACAAAGACAGCTAATGTCACCAAAATATGCTGCTTACGCCAGTTTCCATAATAATGAAGAAGACATAAAGTTAGGAAGAAACACAAAAGCATTTCTATGGCTAGTGAAGTCCCACTCATCTTGAAGTCTTCTTAGGCCCTTAGGCCACGATCTAGTTAGGAATGATCGTCCAATAAATACAAAATGTTACGTGAAATCTTCGGACGTTTTACTAAGCATAGCTACATATCCCAGACTGCTTAGCGAGAAGAGATAAAGGAGAAAGACTGGAAATAGTTGGTAAAATGTCTATAGGGAGGGGAGGGTAAGTAAATTCGTATATTTTTGTTGAATTGTTGGCTTATTTTTCTTTTACTTATTCGTCCTTTACACATCAAAATTGAATCATTTTTAGCTTGAAGAGGGTTATGTTTGATAACTTATTCAGTTGCTAAATGTTGTTGAATTTTGTTAAATCATTTCCGGTTTTCATAGACCGYGAGAACCTGGTAACTAGTACAGCCAGCACATGCAACAACATTGAAGATTTCAAATTTCTTCTCAACTTTTCGTCTTTTTTGTTATTTATTCGCCGCCAAACAAGGTAGGTTGTTCAAGCAGGAATAATAATCTTACAAAAGAAGTGTATTATTCGCATTTTTTGTGTATTTTCTGCGATCTTTTATAAAATTAAACTGTCTATGGCGTGCGCAAGTTATGCAACATGAATTTTGTTTTTTTTCAAATTTTCAAACTTCATTTAAGTCTTTTTGATCACAATTGAATACTTTTAATGTACCTTCAAACTACAATCAGACGGAAAATCAAAATTACTCTTTTAACGTTTTCCTTTCAAAAAGTAAYGAAGTATTTTACTGCTGTTAGCGCTTTAAGTTATTTCAATAAATCAACACTTATGTTTATTGATAATTTTAATTTTGATTTTGTATTTATGTAGACAAAGGTTTTGAATTAATGGGTGCATCAGAATCAACACCAGAGAACCAACCATCGCCATCTCCTGGCCCACCAACAAGCGTTACCCAGTCCCAGACATCTGGGTGTCCAGTGCAACAMAACAGCCCCCCAGTGGGTGAATGGAGAAGTGAGTGTCCAGCCAGTGGAGCAGGAGGTAGGGGTGGCTGTCCAGTCAACAAAGATGGCCTGGATCCTAGAAACATGGTTTGTATTWTTYACTAAATAWGACAACATGGAAATGGTTGTATGGCAATCACACTGCTAGAATGATAGTAAAATGTTGTTTTTGACTTTCTTTCTGGTAMGTTAGCACTCAAATAATCTTCAKTCYTTATTGATAACCAGATGCCACCAGCCAATCAGCAGCCTTCACCAGGGCAACCATTTCCCTTACCAACAAACCGTGTAACATCATCAATCCCAAAAGCAGGTTCAGACGGTGACASGTGGGTTTATCCCTCTCCTCAAATGTTCTGGAATGCAATGGTTAGAAAAGGATGGAAGTGGGAAAAAGAYGAAGTACAAGCTAATGATATGGATCATATTATAAGGATACACAATGCTAACAATGAGAGAGCTTGGGATGAAATATTAAGATGGGAAGCTCTACATGCTCAGTGAGTATCATCACTTGGTGTCTGCAGCATATCATCACACTGTGCTATAATCAAGTGTGCAATGCTCTATTATTATAGTAAACACAAGTGCACTTGTGTCCATACCAGGAATTAAAAGGAATAAGAAGCGAGGACCTTTTTATATTGCGTATTATAATGTTGACATTTTGTTCTTTCAAACAGTGAATGTGGCAACCCTAAACTATTAAGTTTCCGTGGAAGAGCGCAAGATTTCAGTCCAAGGGCAAGAATAAGAAGTTGGTTGGGGTAAGCTACAATGAGATAAGATGATAATWAATATTATTTATTATTAATATTAATTGACTTATCAGTATTACTTCTTAAAAATGATAACAACTCCATTTATTATTTAAACAAATTCATTTATCTATAATCTTTGTACACAGTTATGAGTTGCCSTTTGATAGACATGATTGGATTGTTGATCGCTGTGGACAAGAAGTGCGTTACATCATTGATTATTATGACATTGGAGATGAGGAAGGTTACAAGAAAGGAGAATTTGTTCACCTGGATGTTAGACCTGCAATTGATTCACCTAGTGCAGCTTTAGACAGAATGCGAGTTGCATTCCTACGATGGTCAATGTACTTTAGCAGCAACACAGATGAACCACAGGATGTTAAAGTRGAATCCTCCCCTAAGTCTGATTGAGGAGTGTATAGTTGTGGCTCAAAACAAAAGTCTTAGAAATCACTATTCTCTTGTGGGAATTTCTACACTTTCTTCAGTAGATAATGGCTGCAGGGGGTCTGGATTGTGAAGGTCTTGTTTGTGACATATGTTCGGACTAAAATAGAGACATCAAACTTTGTTTTTGAGAGCAAAATGGCAGTTAAATCTGCAATTTAAATTTGTCCATCATTTAAATGCGAAAAATACTTTTCAGTGATTGACTGTTAAATGTTACAGCAAATATGACTTTATTTCAACAACAGTTTGTTGTGTATTATATAAATTTTAATAATATTTCATAGTAAAAGCTCAAGAATTCCTATTAGTATTAAGTTTTTATCACATCTTTTCTCTTTGTTGAGCAGTAAAGGTCATAACTCCTTCTTTTGATTTCTTTCTCTATTCCTGCAAAATAATATAATAAAGATATGTTACTTTTGTCGCTTTTTGATGTACTTTATACATCTGATCTGATCTCAAATATTGCAAGGACTTGAATTCCTCTTGTTATTCCTTTAAAAGGGAATTATTAGCCTGTGTGAGGGCAACTAAATTTCAAATGCGTTAAAATTATGGAAAGCACTGAGTGGAATTCACATTAACTACAGTAAATTTATAAACCTCTATATTTCAGATAATTCTGTAAATTCACATTTTSGACACTTTAGCATGGATTTCACTAGCGCATAGGCATAAGCATGATGAACGAGAGTCATATACGCCAGTGAGAACGGGCTCAAAATAAGCATAAGCATGAGCACAAGAAAAGCAAGCAAGTCTTGATCTTCTTGTGCTTATCTCATGCTTATCTTATGCCTATGTTCAGTGAGAACGGGACTGCATAGGCATAAGCATAGCCTGGTACCGAAATAATACGCTCATGCGCATGCTCAATGTCTTATGCTTACGTCGAGCCCATTCTCACTGACGCATATGATTCTCATGCTTGTGCTTATGCTATGCTTATGTGCTAGTGAAATCCACGCTTTTGATGTTAACTCCATATTGCAGACATGTTTCCATAGTCTGTATTTGTGGAGATTGTATCCTATCAGGTAACACTTAGTCTCCTCTGGCAGCCTCTATGAAGCTTGTTCCCAGGTCTCCTCTAGGAACGAGCTGGGAAAGGAGACTAGGTAATACTTACAGGCATTCCTTAGGCAGCATGTCATTAAATCGTGCATACGTTTGTAGTTTGCTTTCACCTTTCAGACTCCTCGTTACCAGTTTACTAATGTCACTAACAATCGCATCCTTGAGTGTCCGTGTAATGAAGAGACGCTGGCGAGGCCTGGTGATGAGCAAGGTTGGCAGAGACTCTGGGAAGATTCCGAAGACGTCTCCATATTCTGGATGACAGGTACCGTCAACCCATAAATACTGCCTTGGAATTTCTTTATGACCTGGAAAATGTTTAATTTAATAACTAAACAGAAACTGGAAAATTCCGAAGTTATGGTTTATATCCTAAAAGTTTCAAAAAAGTTGTCAGTACAGTAAACAAATAAGTTAACAAAGACCATGGTTACATGAGGTAGGGCTATAACTCTTTACTTTTATGAAACGAAAACAAAAGAGATACCCAAGCAGGGCCATCCTACTTGATATTAACATGGTCTAATGGCACGCGATACTACACACCAAGGGGAAAGGTTCAGTCGAATTTAAACTAAATTAAATTTCTGGAAATATTTGATTAGTGGTTGCTACCTTTTGACTTACATTTGTAAAAATTATTCAATCAAATATCAAAACCAAAAATGTCGAGGATG